ATTCAAAATGTGAACAAACTGTTGACAGACCTGTTTTTATAAAGCAATGTGTAATTGTATTTTGTGGAACGTCATTCCGAGCTTTGTTAATTATTAGCTTTTTTACATCTAGAAGGTTTTAGTTATGTATTCTGAAACCGTGTCTTCTTCTTTTTTGTGTTTTTATTGTGACAACTAGGTGCATAGTCTATCTATGCACCTAGTCGTGACGATAAAAACACATCTAGAAGGTTTACTCCAAATTTGTGTGATCAAGAATATAGAACACTAGCAGACCCCGTCACGCATTGCTGTGGCTCAAAATGTATCTATTATAAATGTATAACACTTCCCCCGTGGGGGGAAATTTTCAAAAAATCCCTTCTTAGTGTACATTCTCTTGACATACCCTATTAAAACACAATCAAAAATGCAAAAAACCGCATCTGAAATAGCATAACAGAAGCCAAGTTCTTCACAGTAAGCCATAATATTGTCTCTCTCCCCTGCGGGTGGAATATCGAAAAATCCCTTTTTAGTGTATATTCTGTTGACGTACCCTATTAAAACGCAAACAAAAATGCAAAAACCGCATCTAAAATAGTATAAATAGAAGCAGAGTTTTTTACAGTAAGCCTTAATCCTGTCCATCTCCCCCAGTGGGGGGAATTTCGACCGTATATTATATAAAAACATGTGCATATTCGAATGCAGCATTGTGTCAAAATTTCAAAGGAATTGGTAGGAACAAACGAACATTACATTTTTATTTATATAGACAGATAGATGATGATCTGCTTTAGTTCATCTTCACAGAAAAGCAAACTTAGGTCATCGTACTCGTAGCGCCATCTGTTGGACATAAAAGTCTTAACCCTAGATGATATCTTTTAATTTATAGGAATGTTTAACGGAATAATATACAGCCTATGTCCACCCTGAAGTTCCATTCTAAGTATTGGTGAAAGAATTTTTGAAATCGGATGAGTAGTTTCGGAGATTACCCCTACATCCAAACTTACAAACATTACTTCTTTATAATATTAGTATAGATTATAATTTGAAATGCTCAGTTTTTTTGTTCAATAATCTGAGACAGGCTGCTAAAGGAAGCCAAAAATGTTTGGGTTGAAATAAAAATTTGCAGGAAAAAATGAAGAAGGTGGTCTCTTATTTCTTATTAGAAAAGTTCCAGATTTTGTAGTAATCTACAATAAGCTTTCTGTATTGAAATTTAAAGTTTTAAATGATTCTCTGATCTAAAGGTTGTTATCTAAAAGTTATAATTGATGGTAAAAGTTGAAAAGTTATAGTTTCCAGAGTGAAAATCATTAAGTGGGCACTGCAGTTGTTGAAAAAAAGAGTAATTTTTCTATTTTTGGCAATCATTTAAGTGAACTTTTTTAGCCAGTTAGAAAAAATGCTGGCATTGTTCATGCTTGACATGCTGCATATTGTATAGGTAATGTCTTTGTATTGTAGAAACATTTAGGCTTTAAAGATTTTCCAATTAATAACAATAGCAACTTTTTATTCCCTCTCAAACGAAGAGTCATATGTTCTTTGGATTTTTAAACTCCATGACCTGAATCACCTTTGAATACCATTATTTTGTCTGGCATTTAAAAAAATTCATCTGCATTGAAAATATCATTTGGGCTATAGTTCTGTACAATTTCTGGTACACTTTTCAACAATTACATTCAGTTCCTTTTACACTTCTATACTTTCACCACGGATTTTATTGAAAACTGTTTTATTCCTCTTAAATATATCGTCACCTGTTGCTTGCTTTGAATCCAGTCTAACCCAACTGTTCAAATTGTTCAGATTTTTATCTAAGAAGTTTTCTATTAATGGGAATATTCTTATCTCTACATTTTATAAACCTCTTCATCATGCACTTTTCAGCATCTGGATACTTATACTTACATTTTATTTTCTATTTTGTTCTGTTGTTTGCTGAAGATTTCCAAAATCCTCTTTGTTTTTCAACTAAGTAGAAAAAGTGTTCATGGAACAGCAAATGTTTTTGCAATTTCTGATTTTTTTATTTTTGCTTTTCATCGTGATCTTTACAATGGATATTTTTTCCTGCTATCAATGAAATCTTTAGTTTTCTCTCGCTTGCCATTTTTTATCTACTTCAGAACGAAAATAGTCAATACACTGATTAACTCGTCATTATCAATGATGAAATTGTCAGCGTGCAATCAAACTATTGCAGTGAAATTTATAAAATATGGATATTTAGTTCCAAATAAAGAGACATATAGACAGACTCATAAATTTGATTTGGCCAATAACTCAATAAGTTGTCAAATCACAAATTTGTTGTTTATATTTTGAAATTTTCAAAATATAGAAATTTAAAAANATGGAAACTGCCATTATGTTAATGAGATTGTAAATATCACAATACAAACAATATATTTAGATTTAAATACATTATATTTTATTATTTTTTAGATATATGTTTGTACAAAATAACAACACATTGACACTATTAGTGGAAAAAGTCTGTTATGTGAGTTTATCATCAATGATTCATTGCTTCTTTCTCAACAAAATTTTTGATGTGAATGACTGACTGCCTTGAAAGCATCTTGTTTTACGAATGATGTAGTTTTTAGAAAGCTGTTCAAAAACTTCAAAGCTTTTCTGGCTTCCCTATGTTTAGACAGAGCAGGATATTTGTCTTTGACAGGATTTATTTCTTTCTTGTTTTAATCACTTGTTTTTTTTGCATTTGGTTCTTTTCTTTGGCAGTGTTGTCTTCAGATAAGTGTCTGCAGACAGCTAGGTCATTGTCAATGTTGACAAAATCCTTTTCATCACTCATTGTTATAATGAGACTTGGCCCAGCCTTTTCAATACAGTCAATGGATTTTGATGGAAATTCTGATTTATTCAAAATGTCAACAAACTGTTGACAGACCTGTTTTTATAAAGCAATGTGTAATTGTATTTTGTGGAACGTCATTCCAAGCTTTGTTTATTATTAGCACTTTTACATCTAGAAGGTTTTAGTTATGTATTCTGAAACCGTGTCTTTTTTTTTTTGTGTTTTTATCGTCACAACTAGATGTATAGTCTATCTATGCATCTAGCCATGATGATAAAAACACATCTAGAAGGTTTACTCCAAATTTGTGTGATCAAAAATATAGAACATTATAATTTGAAATGCTCAGTTTTTTTGTTCAATAATCTGAGGCAGGCTGCTAAAGGAGGCCAAAAATGTTTGTGTTGAAATAAAAATTTGCAGGAAAAAATGAAGAAGGTGGTCTCTTATTGCTTATTAGAAAAGTTCCAGATTTTGTAGTAATCTACAATAAGCTTTCTGTATTGAAATTTAAAGTTTTAAATGATTCTCTGATCTAAAGGTTGTTATCTAAAAGTTATAATTGATGGTAAAAGTTGAACAGTTAGTTTCCAGAGTGAAAATCATTAAATGGAAATCATTAAATGAAAATCATTAAGTGAAAAAATTAAATGTTGAAAAAAAGAGTAATTTTTCTATTTTTGGCAATTATTTAAGTGAACTTTTTTTTAGCCAGTTAGAAAAAATGCTGGCATTGTTCATGCTTGACATGCTACATATTGTATAGGTAATGTCTTTGTATTGTAGAAACATTTAGGCTTTAAAGATTTTCCAATTAATAACAATAGCAACTTTTTATTCCCTCTCAAACAAAGAGTCATATGTTCTTTGGATTTTTAAACTCCATGACCTGAATCACCTTTGAATACCATTATTTTGTCTGGCATTTAAAAAAATTTATCTGCATTGAAAATATCATCTGGGCTATAGTTATGTACAATTTCTGGTACACTTTTCAACAACTACATTCAGTTCCTTTTACACTTCTACACTTTCACCACGGATTTTATTGAAAACTGTTTCATTCCTATTAAATTTATCGTCACCTGTTGCTTGCTTTGAATCCAGTATAACCCAACTGTTGTTCAAATTGTTCAGATTTTTATCTAAGAAGTTTTCTATTGATGGGAATATTCTTATCTCTACACTTTATAAACCTCTTCATCATGCACTTTTCGGCATCTGGATACTTATAATTACACTTTATTTTCTATTTTTTTCTGTTGTTTGTCGAAGATTTCCAAAATCCTCTTTGTTTTTCAACTAAGTAGAAAAAGTGTTCATGGAACAGCGAATGTTTTTGCAATTTCTGATTTTTTATTTTTGCTTTTCATCATGATCTTTACAATGGATATTTTTTCTGCTATCAATGAAATCTTTAGTTTTCTCTTGCTTGCCATTTTTATCTACTTCAGAACGAAAATAGTCAATACACTGATTAACTGGTCATTATCAATGATGAAATTGTCAGCATGCAATCAAACTTTACAGTGAAATTTATAAAATATGGATATTTAGTTCCAAATAAAGAGTTACATATAGACAGACTCATAAATCTGATTGGCCAATAACTCAATAAGTTGTCAAATCATAAATTTGTTGTTTATATTTTGAAATTTTCAAAATATAGAAATTTAAAAAATAATGATTTTAAAGTGCTAAGATTTGATTGGTCAGTTTGCATTCCAGAATAAGATTGTTACTTTTATGTGTAAAACGATGTTAAAATTTTGAATTTTATGTTGTACACTCATAGACATAATTTTATACAATATCAATATTCAACTTTGTGATAATATCATTCATTTCCTAGAAAATGCAAAGGAAAGCAAATAAAATTAGACACAAAATAAAATCGCTGGATATTAAATTCTGAGTAAGTGAAATATGATCTCAAAACTACTTTAACTTATAGGGGCATGGAATGCATTGAGTCCACAGGAGTTAATTCAAGAGAAAAATAAAATTCAAGTTAAGGAAGTTGACTTATCAAGAGTCTACTGTATATGGACATACAGTATTCTGAATGGTTTTATTAACTCAGATCTTTCTTTTCTTGAAAGTTACTATTTCTGGGAATTTCTCACTCAGTTTAATAATTAATTTTTATTATAAAAATATAAATTTTATTCTATAGGGAAGAATTTCCATGTGAAACAGTTCAAATATTAAGAGATCACTGTGATGAAGTTTGGTTCTGCAGATATTCTAATGATGGCACAAAATTAGATACTGGATCAAAAGATACAACTGTAATTATTTGGGACATTGATCCAGTAAGTATTAGAATTTTCTGAAAAATATTTTTGTAATTTTTATTAATAAAATTAATATAAGATTTAATTAAAATTGTGTACTATATCTTATTTGTAATTTTTTTTTTCTTTTTTAATATTAATAGTAAATTACATATTTTCATTTTGTTACTTTGATTTAAACTATACATTTTTGACATTGAAAAACTATGAACAAATAGAAGTCTCGGTGTACAGAAAGCAGCTTGTTTTAATTTTAGTTTTTTTACTTTTTTTATAGGAAACTTTAGAAGTTCGACATAAAAGGACATTTGAAGGGCATCCAAATGGTGTATCATATTTAGCGTGGAGTCCAGATGATACATATCTTATTGCCTGTGGTCCTGATGATTCCTCTGATGTGTGGTTATGGAATGTACAGGTAATTTACCTAATACAATGATATATAGTAAAATCTCAATGCATTTTGTTTTAAGGGAATGGAAAACAATAAATCAGAAAAAAACAGTAGTTTCAGAAAACTATTAAAAGTTATGAATAAGAACAATTTAATGATTTTTATTCTCTGAAATACAGTATATGATACATTACAGTGTACTTAAAATACTAATTTTTTCTGAAGAACTTTTTGATTGACATTTATTTTGTGCAAACTTTATTGTCCAATTCAAAGTTCAATTTCTCAAGATCTAGAATGCTTTTACTATTACCATCACTCATGCTGTGTACATAAAAGCTTTTACTTTCATCAGTGCTCTATGTGCCTCAACAAAGATGTGCTAAACTTTTTTCTTTTTCTTTTTTTTCTCCTCCACATTCCCAAACACCAGGAGGCTTTTGCAAGTCTCTGTATATGAATATACATACATCCCAGTCTTACAGACAATTAAAATGACAGAAATTATGACAATTTTTTCATTCTATTATTTGTTTATGGATTAAATATACTTTTGACAATATGATGAATGGCTGCAGATGACTGCTTGATTTTTCAACATGCAGTCTAGGCACATGTGAAGGCACAGTACGTGTGCCTAAGTGTCAATGTTTTGAATTAATTCAAGATTATCATGCATGTCTTCTCTCGTGCTTATAAATCATTGTTCCAAATTTAAAGAAAAAACTATCAATATGGAAAAATGTTGATCAGGACCATAATTTTTCGATGATTGCCATGATAAAATAATAGTTCAAGGATCAATGAAGACAGGAAAAAATAATGTTATTTATGTGGGGATAGTTTTGGGATCAAATGAATCGAGCAACATATATGGGAAGACTAAGGTAATGGGAACAATGCAACAAGGTTTTAGTGTATATATGCATAGATATTCAAAAATCTGAATGTGAATAAATAAAAAAGAAAAATGTAATTTTTAGATAATTATTATTTCTTCAGTGATGTAATAAAATTTATATATTCCAATATTAAGATATTAAAAATCTAAATTATTTTTAATTTATTAAACAAAACATTGCAGATAAACTGTAAAGATGAGTGAATCGCATAGAACAGGGCTTTTTAAACTTTTTTATTCACGACCCCATTTATGATTGTGATTTTTTTCGGACCCCCCCCAAAAAAAAATATAAAATAAAGATATATACAAATTTGCAAAAACAATAATGGTGTACTACCANTTGTTAGGTCAATTTAGCCCTGTTGACTATGTAACATGATTTTCTAAGAGTGCACAGTCCGAATCTACCATCTAAAAATTGGCTTTTTTAAAAAAAAAATCTTAAATGATTTTGGCATAATTATTTAGACTTTATTAAGAGAGATAATGAATCTTTCTTATATTTTAATTTGGCAGATTTTTTTACAAGTCAATGTTAAAATCTCAAATTTATCACAAAAAATCATCTTGTGAAAAAAAATAATTTCAACATTTTTAAAATATAAGTGACATTGAACTCTAGTCTTACTGATAATTCATTACCTGTTGTAATGTAATTGAAATTAAAATAAAATAATGCTTTATTTGTAGAATTATTTTGTTAGTCACAGAAAACAACAGTCAAATGATCATTAATGAATTTAAAGTCAACCAAATGATTGCTTTAATCAATCACATTTATAGCCCGATTGATTAAGGTGATTGTTTGGTTGAATATCAATGTATCAGGCTTCATGAAGTTTAGAATTTAAAGTATTTTACAAAATATTTTATTTGTGTTATGTAAATTTCTGAACTATAAAACCATTTCTAAGTATATAATTTAAGATGATAATGTAAAATATTTTCAAGTTTTGAATTATTATACCTTTGAAATAAGATAACTATAATTTTTTTTAATATTGTAATATTTATCATTTACATTTAACATAATTTTGCCAAAGTAACTTATTTATTAGATGTTAGGTAACAAAATGTTATATCAATTGTTTAATAATCAGTTAAATAAGGTATGTTAATATATTTTATTTAACTGGAAATTAGTAAACATAACATCAAGATTATGTTATATGATTCAAAGAATTATTATTAAATATATAAATCATTGTGTGATGACTTTTTCATTGCTTATTTATTAATTTTACACACTAGAGCTTTGATTTCTTGAATTTATAAATATTTAATTATTAATATCCCTTCAGTATTCATTAAATTTTAAGCCAAGATGATCAGCATTCTATTAAAAATTTTGCATTAATTTAATAAAATATTTTTAAATAAATGAAATTTTGTTGACTAAAACAAATTTCATTAAATTATAATTTAATATTCAGACAGGAGATCTTTGTTTTAAAATGAGCCCTACTCCAGAGGACAGTCTTACATCTTGTGCTTGGCATAAAGATGGAAAAAAATTTGTAACTGGGGGTACTAGAGGACAATTTTATCAGTGTGTGAGTAATTATATTTTGAAAACAAACCATTGACTGAACATCATTTAATAAATATTCTAACCAAAATTAATCTAAGCTTGGAAATATACTGAGTGATCAAACAAAAGGAGAACTTGCAAGGAGTTTGCCAGTGCTGCAAATCAAACTTGCTATGAGCCAACTATAGTTTTTTCTGTCCTGCTACATCTGAGAAACACTTAGACCTTGAACATTTATGTACTATGGACTTTGAGATGACATCTGAAACTCTAAATAAATAAATAAAAGCTTATGCCAACTCTTACTTTATAAGGCTAAACTTTGATTATTTTCATAGCTGTATGAACAGAACCATAAGACAATTTGGTTTGTTGACATAAGTTCATTAAAGATTAAAGATCATTCATTTCTGCATGCAGTTATACTTCATAAAGTCTTTCCTTGGATAACTTTTCATTTACAACTCTCTTATGTTATATACAGAACCTGTCTCTTACTAAAATGTTTGTAAACATAAATCTTTGTAGACAGTAGATTCAGAATATTTTCTCATAAATCATTGCTCTAATTTTTAATCACTTTTCTTTTTTATGTAATTTTCCAATTATTGTAACATTTAAATTAAATAACGATAATGAGTTAATATTACACTTGGGAATTGGCAAAGTGTCATAGATCAATCAGATCCACCAACTTGTTGCATCAGCAAATTACCCTTGTTGCTATTTGAGTTTTCTTTTCATTTGATCACCCAGTATTTTAAATATTGTAAGGAAATAGTTTGATTGTAAGAATGATAAAATCTTTTTATTTGAAATTTCTGTTTTTTAATTTTAATAAAATGTTTAGTTCTTATCAATTTTATATTCATATTTAGATTTTGTTCATAAAATTTATTTTATAGCATTAGGTTAATTGCTATTTGAGAAATGAAATTTTGTGAGTTTAGCATGACAACTAGATATTTCTGATGCCTTTTGAAATTCTGAATTTTTTATCATATTATTTCGCTTTATATTTAATTTAATATTTGAGCGGTGTTAAAAATTTATATTATTATAAGTACTGTGATTAAAATAAAACCTAAACTTAGTGCATTTAACTTTTAAAAGTATATAATATGAAGTATATAAAGTTTATTATTGGGAGTTTTTGATATAATCTTATACAGTATTAATTTATGATAAAAATGAATGAAAACAGGAAAACTTTAACATAAGAAATGTTCAGAAAATGACAATTTTATTTAAATTAATTTAATTTATTAAAAAATTTTTACAATAAGATTAAAAGCAAAATTAAATGCAAAATAACAATAATTCTGTAATAATAGCATTTAATATCACATCTGTAATTTAACTAAGTTAAAAGCATCTGTAATTTATTAATAATAATTATTCAAATAATAATTTCATAGGATCTAGATGGAAATGTGTTAGATTCCTGAGAAGGCGTAAGAGTATTGTGTTTGTGGTGTCGAAAAGATGGTAAAACTGTATTAGCTGCAGACACACACAATAGAATTAGGGGTTATAATTTTGAAGAATTAACAGATTTTAATATGTGAGTATATTAAATATATTTTTGGTTACTAAAATTAATAATTATTGAATAATGAAATGAATTACTGTATTTTTTTGATTAAACCCAAAAATTCAAATAAACCCTTGGAATAAAGGTGTTGTTAAAAAATAAACCCCAGGTTAAAAAGTATGGGAAACATGTTGAAGTACTGCAATGTATAGGTATCCCTTGCTTAAAACGGGATTTGATTAACACACGAAATGAATTGCAGCGATCCCTTTATATATGCAGCAGAAGTTTTAATTAACATGGCTTTACCAGATGTTTTTACTTAACATAGTTACCTTATTTGATTAATGCAATTTTGATATATGAGGTAGCATCAGGGATTAATTAACCTGTTAATCAAGAGATATCTGTAGTTTAGAATGACAGGTAAGGAGTTTAACTAAAATTCTACCTCTTCAGATTGTCTGGACAGCACTTTATAATCCAAGGTTTATGGAACATTTTTGGAAGTAAAATTATAAATATTGTCAAATATTGAGTGTGAGAAAGTCATGATTGAATTCATAAGTTGAAAGCTTATCAACTGAAGGGTAGTAACAAAAAAACTCAAATTGGAGATTGTAAAGTTTAACTAGATTCAGTCAAGATCACACAAATAACAATGTAATAAATTTAAAGAGTTCCAGCCTGTTCTAGCAATAATTTTTTATTTATCTAATGTTTTCAGCTAGCTTATGTAGCCATCCTTAGGATTGAACATTCGTGTAATAAAATTCTTTTAGATTTAAATTTTAACATTGTTAGAAGTGTTCTAAATATGAATCGATGACGAATAACCAAAAACAACATAAAATAAAATTCCAAAAACAAATAATAAAGAAACGTTAAAATACAACGATGATGATAATCCACTACAAATCCATTGAATATATACAATAGTAATTAGAGTATGATTTTAATCTCGTTTTGGTTTATAACATACTTCCATGCTGCAGATAAGCAATTGGCATCATTATGATAACCAAACTGGGAAATGCTGAATTGGGTTAACTATGAAAACAGTAATTGTTTCAAATATTGTAGCTGTAACCCATAAATACAGTTAGTAAATGATTTTGATGGTTCAGAAAATGTAGGAGTAATTAAGGTATTTTTTTCAATTTTTGTTTACTTGTCCCCTGTTGCAAGGTAATAAACCTCAGGGGATATGTACATTTTATATATGGTGTTTAATCAAGGAAATATAGTGTTAAAGTTGTCAGATTTTACATTAGTCTCAAATAGTCTAAAACAATAAATACTATCATAAAAAAAATTCATAACATGATATGTCACTTGTAGATTTTATATTCTAAAAGTGGCATATTAATCAATTATTGGTTTTTTAAAAAAATCTAGAGGATTTATTTAAGTACTTGTGTAGTACTCTAGCATAATGCATAAATAGCTTTCCAAAATTTTGGTAAGTAAATATAAAAAGAATGAAGAGTTTCACATATAGAATGATTGAATGGCTTCTCGTTTTTCAATCTTATTGTGAACAAGTAGCTGCTGCTGGGACAAGAGAATTGAAATTAAGCAAAGTTGAATGGGAAGAGGTGAAAAAATTGAAAAATCTCTTGGCAAAGCCAAACCATACATTTACACTTCAAGCTTATGATGTGACTCCTGGAATTTTCATTGGCATAAACTTGCTAAAAGTTTGCAAGACAATGCAGGAGAAACTGCAATGGAATTTTATCCTCAATGCGAAAATGGGAGGAGAAATTCTTTAAAAGTGTATATTTTCTTGCCGGAATTTAAATTGATCTATGCTACAAGATTTTACTGAGTCCACAGCAAGTAATGGAAGCAAAAGAAGGACTCTTTGATATAGCCCAATGACTTGAAAGCAAAAGATTTTTTAGCATTTCAATACAGTGCAAATGAATGAAGGATTCAAATTTTCAATAGAACCATCTCAGACAAGTTTTCAGTTATCACAACAGGAATATGATACTTTCAAAATCATGATGATTTTGAAAAAGAACTTTATAAACAGGAAAAACGCAGACAAGTTTCTGAACTATACAGTTCAAGTGAAGAAGAATTGAAACATTTTCATGAAGATTGCAATACAATGGAGAATATGGCAGGTTCGAAATAAAATTGGTATTTGAGGTGATTCAAAATTACCCAAAGAGCTTTCAAGTCACTTGTCATGTTGCATCAAGCATGCCTACTACTCAAGCGAGTGTGGAGTGATTATTTCCAGTTCTAAAATTAATATTAAATGACTATTGACTAAAAATGAAAGATGATTTACTTTCTGCTATTTTATTTTATAGAGTGAATAATGATGATGTGTTACTATAAAATAAAGTTTTTTTTTTTTAATTTTTGAAGTTAAGTATTTATTTTCAAAAATTTTTCTTAAAGAATAGAGCAAGCATTTTAATGCTGTAATAGAGCAATAAAAAAATCAATTTGCTCCAAATGCATGATGATAAACAATTTCTAATATAAGCTTTATTAATTACATATAAATTTAATAAAAAATTTTCAATTTATAACTTATAAGACAGTTTGTATAAAAATATTGTAATCTTATAGTGATGTACTTAATGTACTTAAATATTTAAATATATTATATAATGTAAGATGATAAATTGTTACTATATAAATTTCATTTTTCATAAAATGATTTTTAAATTTAATGTGTTTTCTAGCATACAAGAAGGTTATTCAATTATGTCTTTTACCTGTGATAATACGGGTCGTTTAGCTCTTCTCAATGTAGCAACTCAGGTAATGCTTATTTTTCCTTATTTTACATATATTAATATATCTTTAAAAGTAAATTATATTTAATATTTTTCTTATAACATAGATACTTGTAGTCATTCTGATTTCTCTCTTACTTCACCAACTACTGCTATTGCTTCAATTTCAACTTGAGCACCCTAAGACAACAAACATATTCAAAATAAATATGTATTTTTGAGAAATATCAACTAACAACATAATGTAATATCAGATCATTTCAAATCAATGTTTTCCAATTTGTGGATCATACATAACCCCCAACAACAAATTGTATTGTACCATTTATTTTTTTCTAGCTCAATGAAAGAGAATCATAAAATATATTGGTGTGACCATTACATCACACTGAGATGGCTACGTCAACAATGCCCAAGAACTGACACCACCTGTGACTTTAGGTGCACAGGAACCTTCCAAATAATTATCGCATGAGTGGTCCCATATGACGAAAATGAACAGGCCAGGGATGGAGGAGGGAGTCAAGAGACAGTACACTGGAAATAATGCACTCCACTATACATTTAACCAGCAAACAATAAATATTTATTTTTCAAGAAGGAAAAAAATTTACAAAGAAAATTGAAATAGAGAGGAGAGTCTTAATGTATTCCAAAATGAGAGAGACTGTTTTCAGTTACTTATATGGGTTGATAAATACCTGGATCTATAATGTCTGATGATCGCTGTCTGGCTTTGACATCCTGGAGAGAGGAAGGAGAGTCTCTCACTAAGTTATGATAAGTCTTGAATCCCAAAGTTCATAAGAGTAAAATCCACAACTGTTGTTGTCCAATTGATTGTTTGTTAGTTCGAAGCAGCCAAGGCCTGGTGGAAAGGGTGGGAAATTGGGAAAATCAGTGAGAAGCCTGGCAAGGATGAGCACACACTTCAAAACAGACAGGTGAACTCTCTCATGACCTTCTTTCCCCTCTATTCTGACCATATTTGCTATGATCATGCAAGGAGCTGATGGTTAGTCCAATCCCAAATTTTTTTGTGACACTTCCTTCGATGAATAGTTTTTAGTGGAATGTGTCACCCACGAAGAAAGTGTTATTGGTGGGAAAATCTTGCAAAGTTCCTCTGTGGAATTTGCTAAAATAAAATAATCCTCTCTTTTAATTTTTGAAAAATTAAATAAGATTAAGATCGTCAAAATTACAAGAAAATATTAGCCCAGGTTCTCACATTGGAAAACAAAGCTTTAAATGTCTTTTCCCCTACACTTACCAAATTAAATGAATAAAAATAATTATTATTTAAAACACACTGCAAAAAAATTAAATAGTAAAAGACAAATATCTCATTGAAAATGATTTTATTGTGTTTAAAAAAAATAAGTATAAAATTTGGTTCCTATTTGGTTAAGTCAAAATGAGGTGATTGATAAATGACTTCAGGCATAACATACTGTAGAATATTTAGCTTCCTTGGCTTTGTTAAAATTTAATATAAATAATTCAAAAATTTATCCATTTCCATTACATTCATTACATTAAAAACTGCTTTTTTTAACAAAAAAACTTGTCTGATATTTCAGTACTTTTGAGCTTTTTAGACTCATTATGAGGGACAATCAAACAGAAATTCTAAATTCTATCAACTCAATAATTTCATTGATGAAATTCAGAATTTTGTATTTGATTTCCCACTGATGATGAGCCTAAAAAGTTCAAAACTATTTTGGTAAAATATCAGACAAGTTTTTTTGTTAGTTTCTCCAATAAAGCAATGTTTAACATCAATAAGTTGTAGATTTTTAAAGTTAATTTCTAGCTTTGAATAACAATTCTAGAATTTTAAAGTTTAATTTATTGATAAAATGCACATTAAGATCAATATCAAAAGTCAGCCAATTCTTGAGTTAGACAGTCAATCAACACACTGACCAAACAAATTATCCATTGTCTGATGCACATGCTATAGCACCCCTACTCAAATGATGGCTGCAATCTAAATCTGGACTGCCAGCTAATTGCATGTTTCTAAACCAGCATGCTTTTCCTTTTCTGGCTAATAATTTTTCTATCAATATTGTACAGCCCTCTAAAACTGGTAGGAAAAAAATGCAAATTTTAATACTTATATTTTCCATTCTCCCCTTACTATTTTTTCCTTTTTCTCATTATTCATCCAATATAAGCTAATATCACTTTGCAGAGAAGAGTGATATTAGCTTGATTTGAATCAGTAGAATCTTTTGATGACCTCATAATACTGCCTGTTGAATGTCTATCTTCACTATGTTCTTGTTAAGAAGCAAGATACAAAGAAGCACTAATGATAATATTTTTAAAGGGAAAGGTAAAAAAACATGGTTACTAAAAGGTGACCTCTTAGCAACTGACTCTAAATCCAAAGCAATAAGCAGGAACTTTATTTTAGTCACCATATATGTGTACCAACAGCCATATTTTTAGAAAAAGAACACTGAGTAGAGATATTGAACAGTCAACAAATTTCTTAAAATTCTTCAGCCAACATCACAGAAGCAGCAATTTTTATAGTTCATGGATAGTTCATAATCACACATTTAACATTTCTGTCAGATATATTTGAACATATAAGCCAGTTAAATAAAATATATAAGACATTACCAAGCTTCTCTAACATATCACATAACAATAGTTAGAGAAGGTATTTTGGAAGAACAGCTCTATTTTCCTGCTGGACATCAGCAGAATTTACAGTTAGAGATGATAGATCTCCAGAAATCACTGCAAAGGACAGATAAATAAGCCAAAAATTTTGAAGTGAGCTTAACAGCCACAGATTCTTTGAATAATGAGAATTCATGTTCTCACTATGCTTGGTTTAACATATTTGTGCATAGGTGCTTTCTCGCATATAAATTATAACAAAGACAAGTACAGGAAGCGCCATATTGTACAATGCATCCAAATTACAATGTCATATAAGTCAATTTCTCAGCTATGGTTAGTAAGAAGAATTTCAATTTCTCTTGTTAAATGCAAAAAAAAAAAAAAAAAACAGAGTGACTCATTAAATTAATAGCATAGCATATGATACTTTTCAGTATTGTATACCTATGTAAAGATAGCAGCACAATCAACAACACTTTTTTCCTCTTCATTAGTTTAATAGTTGAGAGTACATGATCCAGACTAGTATTATGCCTGGCAGTTCCATATTAAGACCTTGCTACAAATTAGTTGAATATATGTGCACCATATACTTATTAATTTGTGCTTTGTCTGGCAGTAGTTAAATATGTAGTTAGGTTTAGGTTAGCAATGATATAGTGATTAGGTTAGTGCTGTTTTATTTAACAGCATTTGATATTTTCTGTTAAATTGGATTATTTGCATATTGATACCACTGCTAATCTAAACCTAATTGCACATTAATTTGTTATTATTCTGCACTGCATTTGTATTATATAGTGAAGCATTCACCTGTCATATTTGATAGGCTGTTCCAAGATCCTACTAGATATTTCAAAATGCACAAAAAGGAAATAGTAAGTATTTTTTCATATGCTACAACTCTGTAAGTGATAATGTTGCCCTATCTGCTCTAAAGGTTACCTATTATAACTGAAATAACTGGATGAGCAGAGACTTTTGTTACAATCCTGTATATATGATACAATATGTTTAAATCCCTTTTGATATGAATTGCCAATATTTTAAAATAATCTAAGCAGCTTTTTAAATTACAGTAGAGCCTCGAAAACTCGGCCTAATGTGGACCGAAGGGTGGCAGAGTTTGTGAAAATGCCGGATTATCGGAAATGGGATTAAAAAAATAAGTATGAGTGTTTCCTCAGAAAATACTGTACTGTACTTGTATGTATNTACACTTACTAAATTAAATGAATAAAAATAATTATTATTTAAAACACACTGCAAAAAAATTAAATAGTAAAAGACAAATATCTCATTGAAAATGATTTTATTGTGTTTAAAAAAAATAAGTATAAAATTTGGTTCCTATTTGGTTAAGTCAAAATGAGGTGATTGATAAATGACTTCAGGCATAACATACTGTAGAATATTTAGCTTCCTTGGCTTTGTTAAAATTTAATATAAATAATTCAAAAATTTATCCATTTCCATTACATTCATTACATTAAAAACTGCTTTTTTTAACAAAAAAACTTGTCTGATATTTCAGTACTTTTGAGCTTTTTAGACTCATTATGAGGGACAATCAAACAGAAATTCTAAATTCTATCAACTCAATAATTTCATTGATGAAATTCAGAATTTTGTATTTGATTTCCCACTGATGATGAGCCTAAAAAGTTCAAAACTATTTTGGTAAAATATCAGACAAGTTTTTTTGTTAGTTTCTCCAATAAAGCAATGTTTAACATCAATAAGTTGTAGATTTTTAAAGTTAATTTCTAGCTTTGAATAACAATTCTAGAATTTTAAAGTTTAATTTATTGATAAAATGCACATTAAGATCAATATCAAGTCAGCCAATTCTTGAGTTAGACAGTCAATCAACACACTGACCAAACAAATTATCCATTGTCTGATGCACATGCTATAGCACCCCTACTCAACTGATGGCAGCAATCTAAATCTGGACTGCCAGCCAATTGCATGTTTATAAGTTAGCATGCTTTTCCTTTTCTGGTTAATAATTTTTCTATCAATATTGTACAGCCCTCTAAAACTGGTAGGAAAAAAATGCAAATTTTAATACTTATTTTTTCCTTTTTCTCCTTATTCATCCAATATAAGCTAATATCACTTTGCAGAGCAGAGTGATTTATTTATTTAGCTTGATTTGAATCAGTAGAATCTTTTGATGACCTCATAATACTGTCTGGTGAATGTCTATCTTCACTATGTTCTTGTTAAGAAGCAAGATACAAAGAAGCACTAATGATAATATTTTTAAAGGGAAAGGTAAAAAAACATGGTTACTAAAAGGTGATTACTTAGCAACTGACTGTAAATCCAAAGCAATAAGCAGGAATATTTTAGTCACCATATATGTGTACCAACAGCCATATTTTTAGAAAAAGAACACTGAGTAGAGATATTGAACAGTCAACAAATTTCTTAAAATTCTTCAGCCAACATCACAGAAGCAGCAATTTTTATAGTTCATGGATAGTTCATAATCACACATTTAACATTTCTGTCAGATATATTTGAACATATAAGCCAGTTAAATAAAATATATAAGACATTACCAAGCTTCTCTAACATATCACATAACAATAATGATATGTGATATGTTAGAGAAGGTATTTTGGAAGAACAGCTCTATTTTCCTGCTGGACATCAGCAGAATTTACAGTTAGAGATGATAGATCTCCAGAAATCACTGCAAAGGACAGATAAATAAGCCAAAAATTTTGAAGTGAGCTTAACAGCCACAGATTCTTTGAATAATGAGAATTCATGTTCTCACTATGCTTGGTTTAACATATTTGTGCATAGGTGCTTTCTCGCATATAAATTATAACAAAGACAAGTACAGGAAGCGCCATATTGTACAATGCATCCAAATTACAATGTCATATAAGTCAATTTCTCAGCTATGGTTAGTAAGAAGAATTTCAATTTCTCTTGTTAAATGCAAAAAAAAAAAAAAAAAAACAGAGTGACTCATTAAATTAATAGCATAGCATATGATACTTTTCAGTATTGTATACCTATGTAAAGATAGCAGCACAATCAACAACACTTTTTTCCTCTTCATTAGTTTAATAGTTGAGAGTACATGATCCAGACTAGTATTATGCCTGGCAGTTCCATATTAAGACCTTGCTACAAATTAGTTGAATATATGTGCACCATATACTTATTAATTTGTGCTTTGTCTGGCAGTAGTTGAATATGCAATTAGGTTTAGGTTAGCAATGAAATAGTGATTAGGTTAGTGCTGTTTTATTTAACAGCATTTGATATTTTCTGTTAAATTGGATTATTTGCATATCGATACCACTGCTAATCTAAACCTAATTGCACATTCATTTGTTATTATCCTGCACTGCATTAGTATTATATAGTGAAGCATTCACTTGTATTATTTGATAGGCTGTTTCAAGATCCTACTAGATATTTCAAAATGCACAAAAAGCAAATAGTAAGTATTTTTTCATATGCTACAACTCTAAGTGATAATGTTGCTCTATCTGCACTAAAGGTTACCTATTATAACTGTGGATGAGCAGAGACTTTTGTTACAATCCTGTATATATGATACAATATTCTTATTCTATCCATTTCTATAATAATTATTATATACAATATTATTAAATACAATATGTTCTAATCCCTTTTGATATGAATTGCCAATATTTCAAAATAATCTAAGCAGCTTTTTAAATTATTAGAAAGAATTTATAGTTCAATATTGCCCAATCAGAAAATATATATAAAAAGATAGCATCAATATCATAATCTTAAATTTTCAAATATATTTTCAAAATTAAAAGTTAAAAATATATCAGCTATCAAATGCAATTTCATTTGCAGTTTTTACTTTAAAAACTATTTTTATTATCATCATTTGAATAATGAATTCACAAATTTTATTCATTATTTCATAATATAATCCTTGGCAAAATTTCAAACTGCTTTTATGACTTATAAAAAATAACTATTTTTAAAGTAATAAAACCTTTCAATAAAATATTCACCATTTAATGAGCATTGCACTTATTTGACTAAGAAATCTCTTTCTTTTGATATTATAAGAAATGGGTTTAATAAATAAGGTAAAAACTTGTTAAAAATTATATTTTGAAGATCACACGAATGAAATATAAATAAATCATACAAAACCTCCTCTAACCTTTTTCGACTATTTGAAATGTTAAAGTGCCAATAATGAATGCAAGCCAGCTGCTACATTAGTATTCTTTGTTTTATTGTATATTAATTTTTATTAATCACTTGTTATTTTAAAGTAAATTGAATTTCATGAACTATCATATAATTATGTAAAAAAGTACATTATCATTAAATAAATCATTTCAATAACTTTTCAAATAGTTTAAAATTTATTTTAAAAAGACATAGGATTCAATATTATTGGGTTGTTCGGAAAGTAAGTTCGTTTTATTTCCGTGGAAGAAAACGCAATATTCTTATAATAAATAAATATTTTATTGAATTATAAGTTGACCATTTTGGTCAAATACCTGTTGTCATCGTTTCTGGTAGTAGCACGATTTCACATTCATAAAAGTTTTGATCGTTGCTTACAAAAAACCGATCCAAGTGATTTTTGACATTGTCATTTCAAGTAAATGTCTTACAGTTAAAAAAAATTGTATAGACTGGAACANACAAAATAATAATTACTTTTTATTAATTTCTTCAAAAAATTCAAAAGAATTAATATAATTTATATTATTATTTTTTAATTACTTATTATTTAAAATTTATTATAAATATTTAAATGATTTCATCTGAAACTACATTCACACTACAATCTCATTGAAATACAGTAGACCAGGGGTGTCAAAGATACGGCCCGCGGGCCATCACTGGCCCTCGAGGCAATTAGTTGTGGCCCCCGATATTAATTCAATAATCATCCATCATACCAACACTACTGGTGTGAGAATTAATAAAATAACTACAAAATTACCAACAAACCAGCAATAATTCACTTCAAAAACGAACGTTTTCTAACGTCTTTAACGGTCATCATCAGGTTCGATTCCAAGAGTTTGAAAAATTGAACATCGAAGTTATGCGCATGTTTGATGCAGAGCCTTAATAAAATTATTCGTGTAATTGGTTTCCTGTGTTAAAATTTCGATGTTTATTATTTTTATTTATTTATTTATTCATATTACTTAGTGATATTAATTTTATTTGATTTATTTTTGTGTTTAATTTCTTGTTTACATTATGTTTTCTCTATTTCATCTTTTGAACTTCAAAGTTCGTCTAAACAAGATTATTTATTTTTGCTGGAAAAGTACGAATGTTGTTTTTTTATTTTGTTACCAAATCTTGCGTTATTAAAAATGAATTTTTTGATTCAGATACTTTTGGGCTACTTTTTTAGAAAATTTTTGTTCACTAAAGCTAAAATCATCTGGCAACGTTGTTCAGTATTCAAATCACTTCCGTAATTAGAGACTTTGTTGCGTTTAGTTATTGGTGAGCGAGTTTGGTCAAATAAACTGCAAAGGTAAAAAATTTTCAATAAATAATGTCAGTAAAAAGAAAAGTTGATAGTGAGTGCCGTATTTTCCAGCCAAAGTGGGAAATTTTGTACTTTTTTATTGAATGGAATGGTAAGCCACTTTGTTTGATTTGCAATAAGATTATTGCCGTTTGTAAAGAATTTAATGTGAAAAGACACTATGAAACGAATCATAAAGACAAGTTTGAGTTAATTACCAACGAAATTAGGCAAGAAAAACTGACATCTTTGAAAACTAAACTTATGGGGTAGCAATCATTTTTTAAAAAATCAAAAACTGACAGTGAGAATGCATTGAAAGCTAGTTATTCGATCGCACTAAAGATTGCAAAAAAATCAAAAGCTTTCAGTGATGGCGAATTTTTAAAAGAATGTATGCTAGACGTGGCCGACATTTCATTCCCATCACAGAAACAAGTCATTCAAGAAATTCCTCTGACTAGAAATACAATTGCTTCCAGAGTAAATGAATTGGCAGAAAATTTGGACTTTCAACTTAAACATAAAATTAAAGAATTTATCTGGTATTCCTTAGCAGCCGATGAAAGTACAGATATCAGAGATACATCGCAGCTTGCTGTATTTATTCGTGGAATTAATGAAGATTTTAACATCATGGAAGAGTTGCTGCAGTGCATACCATTGAAGAGTACTACCACAGCTCAAGATATTTACTCAGCAATTGAGCAGTTAATACCAAATTATGACTTGGATTGGAGTAAATTCTGTCGTTGACACCAAACATCGAGGAGATAATGAAGCGTAAAAGAAGTCAAGTTTCTGGATCCTCAAAATAATATTTTGGTTTAATACGTCTCTACTTAAAAAAATTATTATTTTTTTTCTTTAATAAAATCAAACTTTATATACTTCTTATTTATACTTAGTATTACATTTGTATTTTACTTTTAATCTGGCCCGCTGTCATACTCGAGACAAAAATTTGGCACTTAAGGAGTTTGAGTTTGACACCCCTGCAGTAGACCCTCAATTTAATGGACTAGATTTAACAGACAAAAATTTTCCTTCTTCTATGAAAAATTTGAAACTTTTTTATTCACAAAAAGAACATGCTGAAAGGTCAGATCTATGAGTGAAATAAGTATAAATTACTCAATGTATTTTTATTTTATTCCCACCTATAATAAAACATTTTTACACATCATGCACATTTTAAGTTTGTTATTAATGTATATTTTTAAAGCATTCAATTTAATAAACTTTTGGTAATAGTTTATATTTATAAATAAAGATCACATTTTATAACTAAATCTGAAATTTATACTCAAATATTACACAAATATTAGGTAGTTATAATTAAACTTTATTGTAACTCACTCATTTTCTTTTAATGTGCCCTCTAGAGAGGGATGTATAACCTCACATAAATCGGCATGCCAGCATTCCTGGGATAAACCAGCATGCCAGCTTTTACCATATGGATCTGGTATCGTAATTGATTTGATTTCATGGTCACCCCTGAATATACTGTCATGCCAGTCATTCCGCAAAAATACAGAACTAAAAACATGTCTTCCAAACTTCACTGCAATTCATTGAAGAAATTACATTCTACACAATGCTAAATGCAATAAAGACTGAATGGATATAAAGCATATAAGAATGAGATTCAATATGTCTAGAGAGACAACCAATCCAAGTGATCCTCTTCAAGCTCACACATGTATCACTCATTTGCTAACAATCACATTAGAGATGTTATGAAAATTATTGCTAGTATTTGATGGAACTAAGAGTAAATATTAAGTTTTTTTTTGAAAATAAAAATNTTAAAACTTTATATTTATAAATAAAGATCACATTTTATAACTAAATCTGAAATTTATACTCAATTATTAGGTAGTTATAATTAAACTTTATTGTAACTCTCTCATTTTCTTTTAATGTGCCCTCTAGAGAGGGATGTATAACCTCACATAAATTGGCATGCCAGCTTTTCTGGGATAAACCAGAATGCCAGCTATTACCATATGGATCTGGTATCATAACTGATTTGATTTCATGGTCACCCCTGAATAGACTGGCATACCAGTCATTCTGCAAAAATACGGAACTAAAAACATGTCTTCCAAATTTCACTGCAATTCATTGAAGAAATTACATTCTACACAGTGCTAAATGCAATAAAGACTGAATGGATATAAAACATATAAGAATGAGATTCAATATGTCTAGAGAGCCAACCAATCCGAGCTCATACATGTATCACTCATTATTTGCTAACAATCACATTAGAGATGTTATGAAAATNCAACATATTGAACTCTTCCACTGGTAAATTGTGAGCTTGAATATCACTGTCTGCATTCATGTAGTACATTATTTTTAATTTCCTTCATAATGATGGCTTTTCTGAAGTAATTCTCGATAGTGGATGGAAAACATTGTTTCTTGACCTTGTGAATTTCATAATCACATTAGAGATGTTATGAAAATTATTGCTAGTATTTGATGGAACTAAGAGTAAATATTAAGTTTTTTTTTGAAAATAAAAATTATTATTGAAATGTATGCTAATGACACTTTCAGTCATGTGCATGTTTTTGTTTGACAGATTTCAGAAAATTTATTGTAAAAGTTATCAACATCATTCTGAATTTTTGTCCTTTGATAGCAAGGGATTTCAATGAATGAGTTCACAAAGAATTTTTATTTAGTTAGTAAAATAGTAAATAAAAAATATGTAAGACACTGAATAATTTAATTTTAAAGAATAACTATTACATCAAGATTTTAAGTTCTTTTAAGACTGCTTAAAAGAATTTGTGAGAGCCGCACTATCACACCACCAGCTCTCTCTCTCAAGAAGGAACATTTATGAATTGATAAGAAAATCAATGAGAGCTTCAGATGAGAGAGAGAAGGTTAGGAGACCAGATGTAGTTTTAACTAGTTGATTGCCATCTTTTGAAATCTGAGGATGTATTCCATCTTCTGTACAATATACAATATTTCTTTTTTGTTTTAAAATAAGGTTGTAATGATAAGGAAAACAGTGTTACAATCCTGTATATATGGTACAATATTCTTATTCTATCCATTTCTATAATAATTATTATATACAATATTATTAAATACAATATGTTCAAATCAATATGTACAAAATGTATAACTTCTTTCTACTATTATGCACTATAATAACTTCCAACAAGATTTCAATGCTACAATTGGGGATCTGAACTTCAAACACTATGACTTCACTTTGATGCTATTATTCATAAGCAAGGTGTTATAAATTTTGAATTTATTATGGTTTAGCCTATTTTATACATTAAAATTATTTTATATTTATTAAAGTTTAATTAACTATTAAATAAAACATTGGAGGTCCAAGTGTTTTCCAGAGCATGCGATCTACAATATCTACTATGATCTATTTGTGGTGAAAACATAAAGAATTCATGGTTTAGTGCTTTGTTAAATATCTATTCAAATTATTTTCTTTGTTTTTAAAACAAGTGATTGTCCAAGTCTTTCTTCACATTAAGTTGCTAGCCTGAAAGAACTGTAAAGAATTTTGGACAAGCCATTGACAAAGCTAATCAGCATAACTTCTTTAAAATTGCATTGAGTTCAGATAATATTTTTCAGAAAATAAAAATTACACATGATGATGATAAAAGAGATACATCTATCAGAAATATTATTTTTAAAGATGTTTTGTGATGTATGCTAAATTTTTCTTTAATAAAATATTGTACTTATTGATTGCTAGCTGTTCTCTTTTTTGAGTGAATGTTCTTTGGAATTAAGCACAAATTTGCTATGGAGAACTTATCATTGGGAACACTTTTTCGATGGAAATAGTAGCTTTTATTTTCTAATTTTTATTATAGGAAATGCATTTTGGGCTATATGTTTCTTTTCAGTCCTTATTACATATAATGATAAAACTCTAATATAACTAATGTAATGATAACTGGAATAACTAAGTGTTAAAAATGTACAGTAAAACTAGTAAAAGTATAAAATAAAAAAGTAAACCTTGCTAAAAATATGGAAAAAATTGACAAATAAAAGGAGTAAAAACAAAAACTTTAAAACCAATAAAAACTGGCTAAAAATAAGGTAATAAATACTTCAGTTGTCCATTTTTCCAGTCAGGTATTCCTGTTGTCAACATTAGTTATATTACAGTTGTATCATCTTATAATATAATCAAGATGAGTTGATGATAACAATAATAAGCACAGAGCCCAAATGGTTAGAAGTTGAAATTTGGTACACAGTTATGGTATGTCATGAGTATGTGTACACTAAGAAGGGATTTTTGGAAATTTCCCCTGTGGAGAGAGGAGAATTAAGAATTCCCCTGAAGAATTTGGCTTCTACTGTACTATTTTAGATGCGGTTTTTTGCATTTTTGCAGGAAATTGAACATATTTTTAGACCCACCTAAAAACCTTCTAATTAGTCTCTGAAGAGGGGGGACTTATTCTTGCACCTGGTCAAAATGGATAAGATTGGCTATAATCTAATAATCTTAATCTTTGCTATCATTACTTCTTGCATGAGCAATGCTGGGCTTATCTGCTAGTTATATATAATATGGACTGAAGAGGGGCATATAGCTAGAAATTCATTTCCTTTAATAAAAATTAGAAAATAAAATTGTACTTCTAGTTATTTCATTTACTTTCACTTTACTAAACATCATATAATCTGTCATTCTTGATGGGCATATTTACTAGTGCAGTATTAAAAAAAATTAATTTATTTTTGTTTGTATGCAGTTTTTAAAGTTTTCCTTTCAATAAACAATTTGCATTCATTTAACAAATTGAGTTGTCTTTCTCCAACCCCCTTGAAATTGCAGGCCTGCCTTATTGTCTGGAATGTTGTAAATACTTCATTACCTGATGGTTTGCTAACAAGTCTATTATCATCTTATATTTCTTTATTCAACATATTGAACTCTTCCACTGGTAAATTGTGAGCTTGAATATCACTGTCTGCATTCATGTAGTACATTATTTTTAATTTCCTTCATAATGATGGCTTTTCTGAAGTAATTCTCGATAGTGGATGGAAAACATTGTTTCTTGACCTTGTGAATTTCATATACACAATCTCAGAGCAGAATTAAACCTTTCAAAGACTGAATCTCTTCTAAGCTTCCAAATTTTCATTAAAATGTATTTTCAATAATAAACTTTAATGTTCTTTATTATTCCTTGATCTATTAGTTTCAGTTTTTGAAGTTATGTTTAGAGGGAAAAAAAGAAATTGTACTGTATATTTTGCTGTTTAGTCTGTAACAACTTAAGCCAGATAATTATCAATAAAAAGAAATTTCTACTTACTGCTACATTTTATTGAGATTATTGAGATTAAAAATGAAATAGCAAAATAAAAAACAATAAGCTGCATTGCACTTACAATCCTTATAAATATCATTCACTCTTGAAAAATCATCCATATTCTTCAATAAGACAGTGCATTTTACCACTGAAAAAATTATTTAGAAATACATTAATGATAAAAATACATAAATAATAATGTATAAAGAGAAAACAATACATAAAGCAACTTATATTGTTCTTACTTTATTACTGAAATAATAAATAACAACAACATATGCTATCTTACATGCTGTTATTTTGGTATCATATCTTTCAATTCATTGAATTAAATTAGAACAAAATTTATCACAAGATAATTGGTTCTTATTTGCCAAATAGTTTTAAATGTATTGTTAACTTAACCTAATTAGT